TGGACATATTAAAAACACTTTCATAAATGGGGACTTAATTGACATTAACCACTGAAACTAGGGACCAAAGAGGGTATTAAGCCATTTCAAAAATTTCATTCAACTTTTTTATGAGTTTCCCACCAAATTGAGGCATAAAAGGCCTATGGCCTTTATTCTCTATAAACCATTGCCTAAAACCAGAAAAAGAATTATATTTAAACATTTAAATTGGTTCAGAGTAAGGTATATGGCCTTGGTTCAGAGGAAAACGAAGCCAAAAGTATACATTGCCTCGGTTTTTTGAGGAACCGAGACTATTGACTCTTTTCGAAAAGTTGTCAACTAAAAAGGTAGTTTTGCAAAGGGATCAGTGGGATTTTGCAGAATTTATGGCCTCGGTTCCCCAGATAACCGAGGTAATATACCCTTTTGGTTTTAGTTCCCCATGAACCGAAAACATAAGTTCGCTAAATTTTCAAAAATGCCACTATGTAAAGTTATACTTTGATTTCTTCAAAACTGAAACCTAATGGAAGCATTAAAAAACCATTTTTATACTAGTGTAGCTCTCTAAATACTTGTCATAGTAAACTACACTTACTATGACAAGTGATTACTATGACAAGTGATCGAAAATTTATCATAGTAAGTTGAACTTACTATGACTGTTACTTGGTTACCTGTCATAGTAAGTCACACTTATTATGTCAAGTTTTCACGACTTTATAGAAAGAACAAACTTTCTATGACTTCAAAACTATGATGCTAGAATACCTGTCCTAAAAAGTTTGTTTTACCTGTCATAAGAAGTCTTGTGTATAGTAGTGCAAAGTTAACTAAATTCGAATATTCAAGTTTAATCACAATTTGAATATACAAAAATGACTAAACCCATTTATTTTAGTATATTATAGATTTTATGACAACTACTCCATAGGTTTTTCAAAAAACTCAATTGAGTCTCTATTTCTATAAAAAAAATTCAATATGGTTCATTTCCTTAAATTGACATTAACGTTGTTTAAAAGTGTCACATATTAAAATTTGTCACGTGTTAAAATTTGGATCATCTTCTACTTGGAATGTGTCATGTGTTAAAAGGAGATTCAGGGTTCATATAAGATAACACATTTTGACATGTGATAGACCTAGATTTTGACATGGGACAAAACTAAATTTTGACATATGACATTTCTAAATTATATATATACCAATTAAACAAAATGGACCATATTGAATATAGTTAAAAAAGAAGGCTTTGTTTCTCACACCAAGAGGGGGGTGAATTGGTGATGTATAAAAATGATTGCTTTTAAAATTATTTTCGCAAAACAGGAGTCTTTAAACTTTTCTTGAATCGCAAGTAAATTTGTATGGAATGAAATAGTAAGCGTATTTGAATGCAATGACAGTATAATTGATTCAATGTAGAGAGAAGGGATGAGAAAATTCAAACACTGCAGTTTATATTGGTTCGGTCAAGCCTACATCCAGTGTCCTTCTACTCAACTCTAGATAGAAGTCAATGCACTATATAGATATAAGTTTTTACACCAAGGCTTTACAGCAACCTCACATCAAAATGTAAATTACCTCTCTAACTCACTAATCTAAGTATAGGTAGTACACAACATAGACAAGCAGCAAGAACAATCATCTTCTACTGTCTAACCCTTTGAGATACCCCTCAAAGTCAAGAACCATGTTCTTCTTACTGTACACACCATAGGGAATACCAACAACACTCTGTTTGCCAAAGCTTTTCCTGATCACGTACAAAGCACCTTCCTGTGCAGAACGATCAGTCTTTTCTGCTCAGTCACTTGCTTCACAAGAAATCCTCAAGACTTTATCACCACAGTAATTCTTGATTCTTGGAGCTTTTCTCTCTTTTGTAAGATCTCAAAGAACACACTGAAAATAATATGAAAGTATCGAAAATAATATGAAAGTGTCAAAATCAATTCTCCTTACAAAAATCAAATCATGCGTCTATATATTGTATAAGACAAATCAGACGCGTTTTAATCGATTACACTATTAATCTAATAAAATACATTTCACAGTTATATCAGATTAACAACAGTCAAATGTATTAATTGAAAGCGCAACTAATGTAATCGATTTGTAATAAATGTTTGGTCAACATATTTAAAAATATGACTGTTGTGACAGTTATGTCAAGCATTTAATCAGTTTCCAAAATAATAACAGACTTAGTCGAATACAGAATGCATGCAATCGATTAACTAGAAATACTTAGCATATATTTGAAAACTTTCCTTCTTAACATACATCATAGCACACTTGAAAAATATTTGTGCAAACATACGAGTTTTAATCGATTTAACCAATAATGTAATCAACTTAAAACTGATTGTTTTGCCACACTTTAAAGTTCAAATAACTGAAGCTAGGTGTTTGTGATTTTTCATTTCCGAAAACTCATATTATGCATACACAAATAAAAACACATTTCTAATACAGTAGTATGCAATAATCAACACAATATGTTCACAATTATGCTTATACAAATATAACACAGTAAGCATAAAAGCATATGTAACATGTAACATAGTACATACACATGTGTTTTCATTAACTATGTGTTGTCATCATCAAAAACACAGATATCACTAAGATTGTGGGTTTAGTTAATCCTGTGCTCCCCCAATCAACCATCTCCCCCTTTTTTGATGATGCACAACCATGGTTAATAAAACCATGTTGTATAGTCACAATTGTACAGTCACAATTGTACAGTCATAATCACAGATTATCTACAATTACAATTCTATCCAATTACATCAAATTATTCTCCCCCTTTGGGCATTAGCAAAAAAGGTATTGAGAGTAAACTATAATTGAAACACAGATAATCAAGCATATAGAGATGTATCAGAGCAATTTTAAGTCACTTGATCCTAGAGTAATTTGATACATGTTGAATCAACAAAATAAATTTATCACTTATAATATCAAAACATATTCACAACGGATCAATATAGAGATATAAGCAGAATAATCAGTTAACACATAATCAGACAAGGTTTAAAGATATAAGATATCGGAAGTTTGGAATCTTCGAACCAAGTTACAAAAATCAATCGATTAGAACTTCATTGTAATCGATTTCATGTTGTAGAGTAATGTTGAACTTCCATTATAGCTTAGTCAGAAAGCTCTATTCCTGCATAACCTTTCAGGTTTAATTAGATCAAGCATTTTAGTATCAATGCAGTATAGTGATCAACACAGTTAAGATATGAATATGCAATGATATGAATGTAATAGTGAAATTGGTCAAATTGCATATATACACACTAGTTAATCGATTTATATCAATTAGAATAAGTCATCAATCAAAGATATAATTCCCATAAATTGATTTAAACTGAAATCATCAGCAAGCTCATCCTTGAATTGTCAGCCATCAGGACCATGTTGTAGTCCCATGCGATGTAAGGCAGATTTGTCAATCATATTTCTTCTACCATACGACTCACTTGTTTCATTCACACACTCCACCCCAAAGTGAATCAATATTTTTGAGATGAAGACATAGTATGAAAGCATTGTTGACTCAAGTCTAGTTACCTTGAGCGTGTTCTCGAATATGGCAGCAGGTCAGTCAACTTGAATGTTTTCTTTGATTGCCTTTAGAAGGTACAAGTCCTCTGTTGTGGCCTGTGCGTGGTTGCTTCCTCTTGACATGAGTATCCAAGAGATGACAAAGACAGAGAACCTGTCATCCTTCTTCATACCACCAGTCTTGTAATGAGAGTAATCCCTCACTTCATTAGGATTTCTTAAGCTATCTTGATATATAGTGAATTTGTGGAAACCTTCCATGCCTAGATGGCATTTTTCTCCTTCCAATCGAAAACCAGCAATATCAGTCCATACCTCATTTGTTAGCTTAATGTCCACACCTTTCACTCTGGAACAAAGTGTTCCATCACTTATCTTGAGATTCAAATAGAAAACCCTTACCAGCTCAAGATACCATGGGTTTGTCATTTCAATAAACTTCTTCAAACCCTGTCTACTTAGCCAACTTTGAAACACAAATCCTTCATTTCGAAAGAAGCTTAGCTTCAAGTACTTGTGCGAGATAAGTTTTCTCTTCTTCCAACTATCCAAAAAATTTGATTAAGCACTATTGTCACTAATCCATCCATCCAGATTTGATGCTCGCATCATATTTTATTGACCAAGTGTTTTCACTCTCTTCCTTTGTGATGATGAGGATGCCATTAATGTAGAACGTTGAAAACAAATTTCAGAATACCCAAGAGGAAAGATCACAATGTTTGCGGAGAAAGTATGGGTGTCAAACTTCTCTGATCAGGTTTATTTAACACAAACAAATATTTTGGAGGGAAGTCAAAACCTTATACGTTTAGGGTAAGCTAGTGTAATTTAATTAACTATGTAAACAGATAACTCACATAAATCTGATATAAATCAATCAGTCCATCATGCAACAAACATTTACCAATGGTGATAACATAACCCTTTTCTTGTACAATAAAAATATCACCTTTAACAAGATCATAAATTTCATAAGAACCTTTACCGATGGTGATAACATAACCCTTTTCTTGTAACTGTCCAACACTTAATATGCTACTTTTCAAATTAGAAACATACAACACATGAGAGACTTTTTCAACAAAACCATTTTTGGTTCTTATATTAATATTTCCCTTTCTTATCACTTGCACACTAGAGCAATCACCAAAGCTTACACTAGAGCAAAAATTCTCATTTAAATAAGAAAAAGAGGACTTGTTACCCGTATCCACATAACAAATACTTGACTCAATATTCTTTGTTTCTTGAACAACCATCAACAAAGTCTCTTCTTCTTTTATCTCCACAAGATTTGACCTTTCTCCCTTTTCCTTGGTGTCATGAGGCAACTTGGTATAACATTCAGAAACATAATGCCTAAAGTTATGACATCTAAAGCATTCTACCTTAGGCTTGTCATGTTCCTTTCTTCTGCCTTTATCTCAAAACTGGTCATTATGGCCTCTATAATTCCTATTGGAATTTATGTTTCCTCTTCGTCCCTTGCTTCTACCTCTACCTCTTCCTCTAAAGCTATTGGAATGAGTATTGGTAGAAACCTTCAAAGGTTTCTCCTCAGTGTCTGATTGTTTGAGCTTTTGCTCATGGATTAGTAATGAGCTTTGTAGTTCATTAAGTGAGAGCTCATCAATGTCTTTGGACTCTTCGATAACACATACAACAAAGTTAAAATTTGGTGAAAAAGACCGAAGTATCTTTTCAACAACAATGACTTCTTCAGTTTTGTCACCATTGATGCACATCTTGTTCACAATTGTCATCACACGAGAGAAGTAATCTGAGATTGATTCACCTGATTTCATTCGAGTTGTTTCAAATTCTACACGTAGAGCTTGTAGTTGCTGCCTCTTTACTTTAGAGGACCCTTGATATTTCTTCTTCATTGACTCCTAATATCCTTAAAAGTCTCTTTGTTGAGAATGACTTGAAATAGATAGTTCTTAGCTTTCAAATCTTTCAACTTCATGGCCTCCAACTCTTTTTTTTGTGTATCAGTGAGCCCTACACTAGCTTTAGGCACACCAAATTCAATTACTTGCCAAAATTCCTTGGAGCTCAAAAAATTCTCCACCCATAAACCAATGGTCATATTGACCATCATGGGAGGTGAAAAACAAGAGATGCTTAGTGGTGTGAAGGGATGATAAAAAAATCTGCGGTATGGGTATCCGAGGGGAAATTCATTGACTCCTAATATCCTTAAAAGTCTCTTTCAACTTCTTAGCTTGGGCACACTAAATTCAATTACTTGCCAAAATTCCTTGGAGCTCAAAAAATTCTCCACCCATCAACATACTCCAATGGTCATATTGACCATCATGGGAGGTGGAAAACAAGAGATGCTTAGTGGTGTGTAGGGATGACAAAAAAATCTGCGGTATGGGTATCCGAGGGGAAAATTCGCAGCGGGTAGTTACTATTTGCGAATATTTACTACTTGTGGGTAATGGGTAGCGAGTATTTTAATACTCGTTTCTAAATGGGTCGAATGCGAGTAGTATACTGCCCGACCCATGGGTACCCGTTACCCACAAAAAAGTTAATTTATATATTTTTTAATTAAATTTAATTAAAAATAAAAGTAAATTATATTTTATTAGGTTAAATTTAATTAAAATTAAAATTATATTTATATTTAATTTAATTTATATTATATTATATATATATTTTTAATTTTATTTAAATTTTATTTTAAAACATATAAAATATTTTGTTTTTATTTTTTGCAGGTATGAGCGGGTTTTAAAATACCCGCGTGTATTTTCTAAGCGAATACCCACATAGGTAGCGGATGAGTTGCGAGTCAGATTTTTATTTTACGGGTTAGGTTGCGTGTAGGCACTATTTGTGTCCGACCCGACCCGTTGCCTTTCCTATTGGTGTGACTATGGTACTACAGACATCATGGTGTACTCGTGGATAGAAAAAGACTTCCACTGTAGGAGAGGTAGATAACATAATCCTTTGTTTAAGAGGAGAATTATTATGATACAAACAAAAAGTCCCACAAAAAATAAGAGATTAACATGAGTTTATATACACATAAAATACCTCCATTAATAATAGGTATTTTTAAATGGTATCAAAAGTAAATTCTTTAGGACTTGACCCATGAAGAGTTATGTGTTCTCTCCCTACATTGACATGTGCCTTATCCATGTATTTGTTATTTACTTTTTTTTTTTATATATTTTACTTATTTGTCTTCCCTTATATCATGGTTTTGGTAAGATAAAAATTATACCAATAGAAAGAAAGCATAGAAACATGATAATTTTTTTTATTTTTTTAATCTTAAAGACTATTTTTTTATATTTTAATATTATATTACCGTAAAACTTATATATATATAATAAAAAGACTATCTTACAAGACAAATATAAGCACTTATTTTAACAACTTCAATATAAAAGAAAATTTTGTATAAATTTAAGTGATGTTATAAATATAAGTCACTATCTTTATTACATCCTTTTGGTCAATAATAATATTAAAAATAAAAAACACTTTTTCGTAATCTTCGTGAACATATGGTTTAATTTTAAAACTTTAAATAATTCGACCAAAATTAATGGTTTCATCTTCATCCTACTTTCAATTCATACACCTTTTTCTCAATAAACACTTAGTAATCTTCATCATCACATTTTCTAATTTAAAAAATTTAAATAATTCAACCGAAATTAGTAGTTTCATATTCATTCCATTCCCACCTCATAAACCTTTTTCTCAATAAACACTTTTTCGTATTCTTCATCATCATATTTTTTAATTTAAAAAATTTAAATAATTCGACCAAAAATAGTGGTTTCATTTTCATTCCATTTCCAATTCATAAACCTTTTTCTCACTTGTTCTCCTTTACTCCGTGGTCACAACAATTTCCAATTCCCATTTCGTTATTCTTCGTGGAAGCTCGTTCAAGCGCGGCTCTCCCTATAGAACTTTCTCTTTCTTGAATTCGCACCTCGTCAGCATCGCAATTTCGTGCACTCTGACGCGATCCGCGTTCAATTTTCCCAAAATCAGGTCAAATTCTCTCTACATTCGGGAAATCACTGGTGAATTTGTTCATTTAACTCAGGAATATGTGCGTCATTGGAGGTTTGAGCTCATTTGGCTTCTTCCTTTATCTGTAGGCACGATGATGGCTGAGGATCTCGGTGTGGAGGCGAAGGAGGCAGCAGTTCGCGAGGTCGCGAAGCTGTTGCCTCTGCCGGACCTGCTTCAGTCGATCTCATCCATCAAGGCTGATTACATTTCGCGCCAACAGGTTTCAGTTCTATTCGATTTGATTCAGTATATTGTATAATATTTGTTTTAAATTTTTTGCCTATTATTGCTGTTGCTGTTTGTGTATGGATTTCTTATTAAGGTAGTGTGATTCTCGAGCTCGGTTTTAAGCTACTTGGAACTTCAATTTTTTTATTTTTTAAAAATTTTTCTCAGTGGATTTTGATTTGATTGCTATAGGGGCGGTATTAACTGTTAAGATGTGACAGTTGAGATGTTTATTATGAAGGGAATTTATGGGTTGTACGTTTACCTGTAAGTTGAATTCCGAGTAACTTTATGGAATAGATAATTAGACGCTGCAGTAGTTGTTGATTGTTTGAAGAGGAATAACTTTGCACTTGTTTGGTAGGAATTTGAGTCTGGTAAACTTCAAGTAGAGGAGGATGCCATGCAATTAAATTTATGGGAGCGGACATAATTTTTTTTAATCTATGGGTATGTATTTGGGGGTAGTACCACCCATACTGACCACAACATACTACTTTTCTGCCCTTCGATGGAGTTTATGGTGCGAGAGAGAAAAAAAGATGGGTAGGATGGTTTGAGTTTATTCACGAAAGATCGTTATGAACTTTTGTCCATTTTGAATAAGGAAAAGTTAATTTGGATAAGTTACCAAAAGACTTCAAAAATGATATACCAAAGAATATTTCTTCTCTAATTTTTTACTATAAATATGCATAACATCATTATGAATTATTTAATCTGGCAATCAATATTTATATATTCAAAATCATCTTTAAAAAATTTAGTCAAATATAACAATATGAACAAATTGTTACCTAATACAAAAATGAATTTAATCCATCCATCTATCCAAAGTCCAAAAAGTGGAACGATGATCTAACCCATTGAAGACATTACACTCATTCTTGATCATCATCATTGAAAAAAGACACTCTAACTGATATTCATCTTAAGACAAATTAAAAAATTCAAAGAATTCCATAATATATGAAGATTTGATATGAGAATAAATAAAAATGTTCCTAATAGTACATATATAATATAATTTTCCTGATTATATAAGATTTGCTCTTTATTTCTATAGTTATAATAGAAGCTTACACAATAAGTTTTTGAGTTTCTAATAAAAAAATCACCGCATGTGTCCTCACTAACATTGTATCAGTGGTGTATCATAGGCTCAAAAAAAACCTTTTTTAAATTGGAAATTTGAATAGAGTTCTGATATGTGTTGTATGAGTGTTGGTGTCTGATATGTGTTTGACATCTGATATGTGTTTGACATAGGGACACACCATTATAGAGGCATGTCTGTGCTTCATATATTTTCTGATCAAAAGCTGATTTGTGTTGTATCTATCTGTAACCTAGACTCCTAGGGGTAAACTCTATTGTGTTTTTTTGTCCTTCCTTACACTTTTGTTGTAAGCCACTGATTTACATTTATAAATCTGAATTAGTAAAGAGATCTAAGTTAATATCTCTTAAGTTCTTTTCTCGCATACTCTTTCAAGTCCCACTAAGTGGAAGCTTTGAGTATTCGTCTCCTCTTTTAAGATTTATTTTTAAATAATTGAGACAACTTTTGTTTAGTTCTAAATTGATTTATATTTCAAGTATGATGACAATATTGTGTTTTAAAATCTCGGTCTTCATTAAATGTTTAAATACGGTTGAAATTCTATGTTGTTTGATTAATGACTCACTGGTGTATTTTCTCAAACTTTGTATCTCTCCTGAGTCAGTTACCAGTTTGAGTTATATAACAACGACCTATGTATAGCATATTGCCTATTTCTGATCATGTCTTGTTTGAACTAACATTCACAATTACTAGATCATGTATGGCGTCTCCATCATTCATTAGTATTGCAGCTTTTATTCAGAATCTAAGCAGCTAAAATTCTAAGTGTGAATATTTTGCATTATTTTTCAGGCCAATGATGCACAACTTAGTACAATGGTTGCTGAGCAGGTATTCTTTTCTTCTTTCTTAATTANCATATTTTATTGACCAAGTGTTTTCACTCTCTTCCTTTGTGATGATGAGGATGCCATTAATGTAGAACGTTGAAAACAAATTTCAGAATACCCAAGAGGAAAGATCACAATGTTTGCGGAGAAAGTATGGGTGTCAAACTTCTCTGATCAGGTTTATTTAACACAAACAAATATTTTGGAGGGAAGTCAAAACCTTATACGTTTAGGGTAAGCTAGTGTAATTTAATTAACTATGTAAACAGATAACTCACATAAATCTGATATAAATCAATCAGTCCATCATGCAACAAACATTTACCAATGGTGATAACATAACCCTTTTCTTGTACAATAAAAATATCACCTTTAACAAGATCATAAATTTCATAAGAACCTTTACCGATGGTGATAACATAACCCTTTTCTTGTAACTGTCCAACACTTAATATGCTACTTTTCAAATTAGAAACATACAACACATGAGAGACTTTTTCAACAAAACCATTTTTGGTTCTTATATTAATATTTCCCTTTCTTATCACTTGCACACTAGAGCAATCACCAAAGCTTACACTAGAGCAAAAATTCTCATTTAAATAAGAAAAAGAGGACTTGTTACCCGTATCCACATAACAAATACTTGACTCAATATTCTTTGTTTCTTGAACAACCATCAACAAAGTCTCTTCTTCTTTTATCTCCACAAGATTTGACCTTTCCCATTTTCATTGTTGTCACAAGGCAACTTGGTATAACATTCAGAAACATAATGCCTAAAGTTATGACATCTAAAGCATTCTACCTTAGGCTTGTCATGTTCCTTTCTTCTGCCTTTATCTCAAAACTGGTCATTATGGCCTCTATAATTCCTATTGGAATTTATGTTTCCTCTTCGTCCCTTGCTTCTACCTCTACCTCTTCCTCTAAAGCTATTGGAATGAGTATTGGTAGAAACCTTCAAAGGTTTCTCCTCAGTGTCTGATTGTTTGAGCTTTTGCTCATGGATTAGTAATGAGCTTTGTAGTTCATTAAGTGAGAGCTCATCAATGTCTTTGGACTCTTCGATAACACATACAACAAAGTTAAAATTTGGTGAAAAAGACCGAAGTATCTTTTCAACAACAATGACTTCTTCAGTTTTGTCACCATTGATGCACATCTTGTTCACAATTGTCATCACACGAGAGAAGTAATCTGAGATTGATTCACCTGATTTCATTCGAGTTGTTTCAAATTCTACACGTAGAGCTTGTAGTTGCTGCCTCTTTACTTTAGAGGACCCTTGATATTTCTTCTTCATTGACTCCTAATATCCTTAAAAGTCTCTTTGTTGAGAATGACTTGAAATAGATAGTTCTTAGCTTTCAAATCTTTCAACTTCATGGCCTCCAACTCTTTTTTTTGTGTATCAGTGAGCCCTACACTAGCTTTAGGCACACCAAATTCAATTACTTGCCAAAATTCCTTGGAGCTCAAAAAATTCTCCACCCATAAACCAATGGTCATATTGACCATCATGGGAGGTGAAAAACAAGAGATGCTTAGTGGTGTGAAGGGATGATAAAAAAATCTGCGGTATGGGTATCCGAGGGGAAATTCATTGACTCCTAATATCCTTAAAAGTCTCTTTCAACTTCTTAGCTTGGGCACACTAAATTCAATTACTTGCCAAAATTCCTTGGAGCTCAAAAAATTCTCCACCCATCAACATACTCCAATGGTCATATTGACCATCATGGGAGGTGGAAAACAAGAGATGCTTAGTGGTGTGTAGGGATGACAAAAAAATCTGCGGTATGGGTATCCGAGGGGAAAATTCGCAGCGGGTAGTTACTATTTGCGAATATTTACTACTTGTGGGTAATGGGTAGCGAGTATTTTAATACTCGTTTCTAAATGGGTCGAATGCGAGTAGTATACTGCCCGACCCATGGGTACCCGTTACCCACAAAAAAGTTAATTTATATATTTTTTAATTAAATTTAATTAAAAATAAAAGTAAATTATATTTTATTAGGTTAAATTTAATTAAAATTAAAATTATATTTATATTTAATTTAATTTATATTATATTATATATATATTTTTAATTTTATTTAAATTTTATTTTAAAACATATAAAATATTTTGTTTTTATTTTTTGCAGGTATGAGCGGGTTTTAAAATACCCGCGTGTATTTTCTAAGCGAATACCCACATAGGTAGCGGATGAGTTGCGAGTCAGATTTTTATTTTACGGGTTAGGTTGCGTGTAGGCACTATTTGTGTCCGACCCGACCCGTTGCCTTTCCTATTGGTGTGACTATGGTACTACAGACATCATGGTGTACTCGTGGATAGAAAAAGACTTCCACTGTAGGAGAGGTAGATAACATAATCCTTTGTTTAAGAGGAGAATTATTATGATACAAACAAAAAGTCCCACAAAAAATAAGAGATTAACATGAGTTTATATACACATAAAATACCTCCATTAATAATAGGTATTTTTAAATGGTATCAAAAGTAAATTCTTTAGGACTTGACCCATGAAGAGTTATGTGTTCTCTCCCTACATTGACATGTGCCTTATCCATGTATTTGTTATTTACTTTTTTTTTTTATATATTTTACTTATTTGTCTTCCCTTATATCATGGTTTTGGTAAGATAAAAATTATACCAATAGAAAGAAAGCATAGAAACATGATAATTTTTTTTATTTTTTTAATCTTAAAGACTATTTTTTTATATTTTAATATTATATTACCGTAAAACTTATATATATATAATAAAAAGACTATCTTACAAGACAAATATAAGCACTTATTTTAACAACTTCAATATAAAAGAAAATTTTGTATAAATTTAAGTGATGTTATAAATATAAGTCACTATCTTTATTACATCCTTTTGGTCAATAATAATATTAAAAATAAAAAACACTTTTTCGTAATCTTCGTGAACATATGGTTTAATTTTAAAACTTTAAATAATTCGACCAAAATTAATGGTTTCATCTTCATCCTACTTTCAATTCATACACCTTTTTCTCAATAAACACTTAGTAATCTTCATCATCACATTTTCTAATTTAAAAAATTTAAATAATTCAACCGAAATTAGTAGTTTCATATTCATTCCATTCCCACCTCATAAACCTTTTTCTCAATAAACACTTTTTCGTATTCTTCATCATCATATTTTTTAATTTAAAAAATTTAAATAATTCGACCAAAAATAGTGGTTTCATTTTCATTCCATTTCCAATTCATAAACCTTTTTCTCACTTGTTCTCCTTTACTCCGTGGTCACAACAATTTCCAATTCCCATTTCGTTATTCTTCGTGGAAGCTCGTTCAAGCGCGGCTCTCCCTATAGAACTTTCTCTTTCTTGAATTCGCACCTCGTCAGCATCGCAATTTCGTGCACTCTGACGCGATCCGCGTTCAATTTTCCCAAAATCAGGTCAAATTCTCTCTACATTCGGGAAATCACTGGTGAATTTGTTCATTTAACTCAGGAATATGTGCGTCATTGGAGGTTTGAGCTCATTTGGCTTCTTCCTTTATCTGTAGGCACGATGATGGCTGAGGATCTCGGTGTGGAGGCGAAGGAGGCAGCAGTTCGCGAGGTCGCGAAGCTGTTGCCTCTGCCGGACCTGCTTCAGTCGATCTCATCCATCAAGGCTGATTACATTTCGCGCCAACAGGTTTCAGTTCTATTCGATTTGATTCAGTATATTGTATAATATTTGTTTTAAATTTTTTGCCTATTATTGCTGTTGCTGTTTGTGTATGGATTTCTTATTAAGGTAGTGTGATTCTCGAGCTCGGTTTTAAGCTACTTGGAACTTCAATTTTTTTATTTTTTAAAAATTTTTCTCAGTGGATTTTGATTTGATTGCTATAGGGGCGGTATTAACTGTTAAGATGTGACAGTTGAGATGTTTATTATGAAGGGAATTTATGGGTTGTACGTTTACCTGTAAGTTGAATTCCGAGTAACTTTATGGAATAGATAATTAGACGCTGCAGTAGTTGTTGATTGTTTGAAGAGGAATAACTTTGCACTTGTTTGGTAGGAATTTGAGTCTGGTAAACTTCAAGTAGAGGAGGATGCCATGCAATTAAATTTATGGGAGCGGACATAATTTTTTTTAATCTATGGGTATGTATTTGGGGGTAGTACCACCCATACTGACCACAACATACTACTTTTCTGCCCTTCGATGGAGTTTATGGTGCGAGAGAGAAAAAAAGATGGGTAGGATGGTTTGAGTTTATTCACGAAAGATCGTTATGAACTTTTGTCCATTTTGAATAAGGAAAAGTTAATTTGGATAAGTTACCAAAAGACTTCAAAAATGATATACCAAAGAATATTTCTTCTCTAATTTTTTACTATAAATATGCATAACATCATTATGAATTATTTAATCTGGCAATCAATATTTATATATTCAAAATCATCTTTAAAAAATTTAGTCAAATATAACAATATGAACAAATTGTTACCTAATACAAAAATGAATTTAATCCATCCATCTATCCAAAGTCCAAAAAGTGGAACGATGATCTAACCCATTGAAGACATTACACTCATTCTTGATCATCATCATTGAAAAAAGACACTCTAACTGATATTCATCTTAAGACAAATTAAAAAATTCAAAGAATTCCATAATATATGAAGATTTGATATGAGAATAAATAAAAATGTTCCTAATAGTACATATATAATATAATTTTCCTGATTATATAAGATTTGCTCTTTATTTCTATAGTTATAATAGAAGCTTACACAATAAGTTTTTGAGTTTCTAATAAAAAAATCACCGCATGTGTCCTCACTAACATTGTATCAGTGGTGTATCATAGGCTCAAAAAAAACCTTTTTTAAATTGGAAATTTGAATAGAGTTCTGATATGTGTTGNAAGCATTCTACCTTAGGCTTGTCATGTTCCTTTCTTCTGCCTTTATCTCAAAACTGGTCATTATGGCCTCTATAATTCCTATTGGAATTTATGTTTCCTCTTCGTCCC